CCAATCAAAACTCCTGAGGGTGTCCAGGCAGTTTACACTTAATTACTTTTGCGATCCAGAGATCTCTTCATGCCCTGACACCGTAAGGCATTCCGGGAGTAGAGAGGAGAAGGAGGTGGTGGAGGAGGAGAAGAAGAAGTAGAAGGAAGAAGGAGAAGAAGAAGAAGAAGAAGAAGAAGAAGAAGAAGAAGAAGAAGAAGAAGAAGAAGAAGAAGAAGAAGAAGAAGAAGAAGAAGAAGCCGAAAAAGAAGAAGAAGAAGCCGAAGAAGAAGAAGAAGAAGCCGAAGAAGAAGAAGAAGAAGAAGCCGAAAAAGAAGAAGAAGCCCAAGTAGACGAAGAAGAAGAAGAAGAAAAAGAAGAAGAAGAAGAAGAAGAAGAAGAAGAAGAAGAAGAAGAAGAAGAAGAAGAAGAAGAAGAAGAAGAAGAAGAAGAAGAAGTTTAAAGATGGGGAGAAAAGTGGCTGACTGGCTAACACGCTTAAATACGGGTATGATCGTCGTAGATTCAAATTCGCATTGCGATTTGTGTGAGTGTATTTATGTGTGTGTGTGTGTGTGAGAGAGAGAGAGAGAGGTGGGAGTGAGAGAGAGAGGGGAGAGAGAGAAAGAGAGGGAGAGAGAGAGAGAGAGGGGGAGAGAGAGAGAGGGGAGAGAGAGAGGGAGGAGAAAGAGAGAGGGGTGAAAGAGAGGAGAGAGAGAGAGAGGAGAGAGAGAGAGAGAGGGGTGGGAGTGAGAGAGAGAGGGGAGATAGAGAGAGGGGAGAGAGAGGAGAAAGAGAGAGGGGAAAGAGAGAGGGGAGAGAGAGAGGGGAGAGAGAAGGGAGAGAGGAGAGAGAGAGAGAGAGGGGAGAGAGAGGGGAGAGAGAGAGAGAGAGGAGAGAGAGAGAGAGAGAGATTATGTCTGGGTTTGCAGTTAGACCCATCCTAACATTTCACAGTCCCGTTTTAGGGATTGGAGCCGCCGTGGTGAAGCGGCTAAATGCCTGTCCTCGGATCAGAAGGTCGTGGGCTCGGGTCAACATTTAGCCCTACTTTTTTTTTTTTTTAAATAATTTTTGGAGGCCGTAAGATCTTAATGCATGTCCATACAATTCCGTTTTTCGTCTTTTCACTGTAGTTAAAAGAAATTCATAGTGGCCAATGTTCTGTACAATTTTATGGCGAACCTCTTCGTTTGTAATGCGGTCTCTGTATGGTATGCCAAGAATTGTTCTGAAACATCGAGTTTCTCATTCTTGTATCTTCTTTTCAAGTTCGGCTGTTAAGGTCCACGTTTTACAGTCATATGTAAATGTACTAATAGCTAGTGATCTGAGCAATCGAATTTTAGTTTTACATGAAATGTTTTTGGATATCCATGTTTGCTGCCTGGTAAGGACTGATGTTTGCTGCTTGGCAATAATAGATATGATTTCTGGTCTTGACCACCGGGTCACTTATAATTGTTCCTAAATATTTGAAATAAGTAAATTCTTCTAAATTGTGGCCTTTAACATAGACTGGTGAAATTCTGCCAGCTGGATTATTAATCATTACTTTCGTTTTTTCTGCGTTTATTTCCATGCCATACTTGGTTGATATGTTATCGAGCAGATTTACAACCTCGACTAGTTCTTGTTCTTCTCCAGCCAACCCATCGATGTCATCTGCAAACCTGATGTTTGTTATAATATGACCTCCTATACTATCTGTTCCATAATGTTGTTCGAGGGCGTCAGTCATAATTCTTTCTAAGAATATGTTAAACAGTCAACAGCGTGGTGCGTCTCATGCAGTATTTTAACCCTGGCGGGGCCCACTCCTCTCCAGGTGGTCATGTCCCCGTTATCCTGCATCCCCACTCCTCTCCAGGTGGCCATGTCCCCGTTATCCTGTTTCCTCACTCCTCTCCGGGTCGTCATGTCCCCGTTATCCTGCATCCCCACTCCTCTCCAGGTGGCCATGTCCCCGTTATCCTGTATCCTCACTCCTCTCCAGGTCGTCATATCCCCGTTATCCTGTATCCTCACTCCTCTCTAAGTGGCCATGTCCCCGTTATCCTGTATCCTCACTCATCTCTAGGTGGCCATGTCCCCGTTATCCTGTATCCTCACTCATCTCTAGGTGGCCATGTCCCCGTTATCCTGTATCCTCACTCATCTCCAGGTAGCCATGTCCCCGTTATCCTGTATCCTCACTCATCTCCAGGTAGCCATGTCCCCGTTATCCTCACTACCTTCCAGGTGGCCATGTCCCGGTTAGCCTGTATCCTCACTCATCTCTAGGTGGCGATGTCCCCGTTATCCTGTATCCTCACTCCTCTCCAGGTCGTCATGTCCCCGTTATCCTGTATCCTCACTCCTCTCCAGGTCGTCATATCCCCGTTATCCTGTATCCTCACTCCTCTCTAAGTGGCCATGTCCCCGTTATCCTGTATCCTCACTCATCTCCAGGTGGCCATGTCCCCGTTATCCTGTATCCTCACTCCTTTCCAGGTGGCCATGTCCCAGTTAGCCTGTATCCTCACTCATCTGTAGGTGGTCATGTCCCCGTTATCCTGTATCCTCACTCATCTCCAGGTGGCCCCGTCCCCGTTATCCTGTATCCTCACTCATCTCTAGGTGGTCATGTCCCCGTTATCCTGTATCCTCACTCATCTCTAGGTGGCCATGTCCCCGTTATCCTCTATCCTCACTCATCTCTAGGTGGCCATGTCCCCGTTATCCTGTATCCTCACTCATCTCCAGGTGGCCATGTCCCCGTTATCCTCACTACTTTCCAGGTGGCTATGTCCCCGTTATCCTGTATCCTCACTCATCTCTTAGTGGTCATGTCCCCGTTATCCTGTATCCTCACTCCTCTCCAGGTGGTCATATCCCCGTTTTCCTGTATCCTCACTCATCTCTAGGTGGCCATGTCCCCGTTATCCTGTATCCTCGCTCATTTCCAGGTGGCCATGTCCCCGTTATCCTGTATCCTCACTCCTCTCCAGGTGGCCATGTCCCCGTTATCCTGTATCATCACTCCTCTCCAGGTGGTCATGTCCCCGTTATCCTGTATCCTCACTCATCTCCAGGTGGCCATGTCCCCGTTATCCTGTATCCTCACTCCTCTCCAGGTGGCCATGTCGCCGTTATCCTGTATCCTCACTCATCTCTAGGTGGCCATGTCGCCGTTATCCTGTATCCTCACTCATCTCCAGGTGGCCATGTCCCCGTTATCCTGTATCCTCACTCATCTCTAGGTGGCCATGTCGCCGTTATCCTGTATCCTCACTCATCTCTAGGTGGCCATGTCCCCGTTATCCTGTATCCTCACTCATCTCTAGGTGGCCATGTCGCCGTTATCCTGTATCCTCACTCATCTCTAGGTGGCCATGTCCCCGTTATCCTGTATCCTCACTCATCTCTAGGTGGCCATGTCCCCGTTATCCTGTATCCTCACTCATCTCTAGGTGGCCATGTCCCCGTTATCCTGTATCCTCACTCATCTCTAGGTGGCCATGTCCCCGTTATCCTGTATCCTCACTCATCTCTAGGTGGCCATGTCCCCGTTATCCTGTATCCTCACTCATCTCTAGGTGGTCATGTCCCCGTTATCCTGTATCCTCACTCATCTCTAGGTGGCTATGTCCCCGTTATCCTGTATCCTCACTCATCTCTAGGTGGTCATGTCCCCGTTATCCTGTATCCTCACTCATCTCTAGGTGGTCATGTCCCCGTTATCCTGTATCCTCACTCATCTCTAGGTGGTCATGTCCCCGTTATCCTGTATCCTCACTCCTCTCCAGGTGGCCATGTCCCCGTTATCCTGTATCCTCACTCCTCTCCAGGTGGCCATGTCCCCGTTATCCTGTATCCTCACTCCTCTCCAGGTGGCCATGTCCCCGTTATCCTGTATCCTCACTCCTCTCCAGGTGGCCATGTCCCCGTTATCCTGTATCCTCACTCCTCTCCAGGTGGCCATGTCCCCGTTATCCTGTATCCTCACTCCTCTCCAGGTGGCCATGTCCCCGTTATCCTGTATCCTCACTCCTCTCCAGGTGGCCATGTCCCCGTTATCCTGTATCCTCACTCCTCTCCGGGTGGCCATGTCCCCGTTATCCTGTATCCTCACTCATCTCCAGGTGGTCATGTCCCCGTTATCCTGTATCCTCACTCATCTCTAGGTGGTCGTGTCCCCGTTATCCTGTATCCTCACTCCTCTCCAGGTGGCCATGTCCCCGTTATCCTGTATCCTCACTCCTCTCCGGGTGGCCATGTCCCCGTTATCCTGTATCCTCACTCCTCTCCGGGTGTTCATGTCCCCGTTATCCTGTATCCTCACTCCTCTCCGGGTGGTCATGTCCCCGTTATCCTGTATCCTCACTCCTCTCCGGGTGGTCATGTCCCCGTTATCCTGTATCCTCACTCCTCTCTAGGTGGCCATGTCCCCGTTATCCTGTATCCTCACTCATCTCTAGGTGGCCATGTCCCCGTTATCCTGTATCCTCACTCATCTCTAGGTGGCCATGTCCCCGTTATCCTGTATCCTCACTCATCTCTAGGTGGCCATGTCCCCGTTATCCTGTATCCTCACTCATCTCTAGGTGGTCATGTCCCCGTTATCCTGTATCCTCACTCCTCTCCAGATGGCCATGTCCCCGTTATCCTGTATCCTCACTCCTCTCCAGGTGGCCATGTCCCCGTTATCCTGCATCCTCACTCCTCTCCAGGTGGCCATGTCCCGTTATCCTGTATCCTCACTCCTCTCCAGGTGGCCATGTCCCCGTTATCCTGTATCCTCACTCCTCTCCAGGTGGCCATGTCCCCGTTATCCTGTATCCTCACTCCTCTCCAGGTGGCCATGTCCCCGTTATCCTGTATCCTCACTCCTCTCCAGGTGGCCATGTCCCCGTTATCCTGTATCCTCACTCCTCTCCGGGTGGCCATGTCCCCGTTATCCTGTATCCTCACTCCTCTCCGGGTGGCCATGTCCCCGTTAGCTTGTATCCTCACTCCTCTCTAGGTGGCCATGTCCCCGTTAGCTTGTATCCTCACTCCTCTCTAGGTGGCCATGTCCCCGTTAGCTTGTATCCTCACTCCTCTCTAGGTGGCCATGTCCCCGTTAGCTTGTATCCTCACTCCTCTCTAGGTGGCCATGTCCCCGTTAGCTTGTATCCTCACTCCTCTCTAGGTGGCCATGTCCCCGTTATCCTGTATCCTCACTCCTCTCTAGGTGGCCATGTCCCCGTTAGCTTGTATCCTCACTCATCTCCAGGTGGCCATGTCCCCGTTATCCTGTATCCTCACTCATCTCTAGGTGGCCATGTCCCCGTTATCCTGTATCCTCACTCATCTCTAGGTGGCCATGTCCCCGTTAGCTTGTATCCTCACTCATCTCTAGGTGGCCATGTCCCCGTTATCCTGTATCCTCACTCCTCTCCGGGTGGCCATGTCCCCGTTAGCTTGTATCCTCACTCCTCTCCAGGTGGCCATGTCCCCGTTAGCTTGTATCCTCACTTCTCTCCGGGTGGTCATGTCCCCGTTATCCTGTATCCTCACTCATCTCTAGGTGGCCATGTCCCCGTTAGCTTGTATCCTCATGGATACAGCTTCCAGTCTGCACTACGGGGAGGTGGGTTTTTTTTGTGCGTTTTACGGGACAGCAGCAGGCTACTAATTCTCGCTCATCATCTTCTTACTTTAAAGAGCAACCAAGAGGCGGAAGCCCGAAGGCAACTTATCACAGACATCAGAAGGAGACAGTCCTAATTATTTCGGCCATATTATGAGAAGAGGGAAAATAAAACATGTTGTGACCCCTGGAAAGATCTGTGGAAGGAAGGATAGAGGAAGATAACGAGTGAAGATTCTTGACAGTCTTGTTGCATGGGATAGAGGTGTGTCAGCACACGAACTGATACATGCTGCAGGAGATCGCAGATTGTGGAGAGGCATGATCGCCCATGCCAGTCGGCAAGGCACCTGATGATGACGAGGAGGAGGAGAGCTAGCTGCCCTTAGCACTGCTGGCTGCAGTGCCAGGCGTGACCAAACCTTGCAGACCAACTGAACTTTATATTTAAAAAGAAAAATCCCATGGTTAGTTCAGCAATATCCTGCAAAGGATAGCAACAATTTTGTTTTTAAAAACTCTATTAGTAGGTTCTAAAGCAGCTCAGCTTTTCTGCCTGAAGGTCTACAACTGAAATCCGCGGCGAAAAGCTTTATCTGGAAACTGACCAAAGATCCCAGTTCGACCCAGTCTAAAATGGGTACAAGATAATGTTCAGTATTTAAAGGCTTTTGGCGTGGTGTTGATCACATCGCGTATTGAGTGGCCATCGGTATGTACAAAATATAGACCTACCACTCTGTGCCTGATTCTGAAGGAGACGAAATAATTATTGTTTAATGGCCTTAGCTTATTTAAATGGGTTACCAAGTAAAATCTTGGGAAGTCAATGCGGCCTGTGTGCTGCTGACCACATCGTCCACCGAGTCTGTAAAATGTAGGTCTAAACCTATGTGCCGCATACGCCTGAAGATGTGAAAGCGGATCCTTAACTTTACTTGTACACTATGCCTTTGGCGCTTCAAACGGCTAAAGGTCCTTTAGTACGCTTTATGTTACGAGTAAACCAATAGTTTCTGCACTCCCGAACGGACACATTAACTTCTCACCGTTCTTACCCATGATATTAACAGTTTGTAACCTAAACGACGCACCGTGCGCGAGTGAATGCTATGCCAGTGTACCAGTTAACATACTTACAGTTACCATAAAAGTCGTCCCCATGTGCGAAGCAATTTTTTTGTTATTTGAAGCCACACCCTGGCTTTTGCTAGGGGCCCTGAATATAGCTGGGCCATAAATATTCCCCCAATGCTGAAAGGGGTTTCTGAGACCACGCCACTGGTGATCCTCATCCGCATGGTGGCACTTTGTGTCACCGGGTGTTTATCGCTTAGTGTGATGTCCTGGTTGGGTACAATAGCTATCTACCTACCATTAACACACTGTGTCTACATCGCACGATTAGCTGAATATTATATATTAATGTCATTCCTCTTCTTCTGCTACGTTCACGCATAACATGGCGGGAGGGGGTGGGGCTGAGTGGTCTCGAGGTATGGCATCCGCCTCGAGTGCTGGATGTCCCGGGTTCAAACCCCGTTGAAAGTTGGGATATTTTTTACGGCGACGTCTATTAATTTACCCTGGTTGCTGGGTAGTAAGACCGGACGCTAGTGTGTATTGTTGCGCACGTAAAAAAGGTAGCCTAACATCGCTGCCCGGACAAAATGTGGAGTTACAAATCCACCCAAAGGGACTCGTGCACTGCGCTGAGATTGTTCAGACTCAGGCTTGAGTTAGAAGTAGAAGAGCGCACTTATGTTAGACCCATGTCCTATGATGTTGTTCCGTTGAATAAACACTAAATATAGCAGTTGGCATGTTGTGTGGTTATTTACAGCTAAGCAGCGATGTCTTTTGGCCCAACACATTCTATTTAGGCAAACCCCAGTTAGTCCCCATTTATAATATGTTCGTGAGAGGTCAGCGGATCGGTCAGCTACCACCACCAAATGGGCGCTGGAACTCACAGGTCAGTGAATCGGTCAGCTACTACCACCAAATAGGCACTGGAACCCACAGGTCAGTGGATCGGTCAGCTACCACCACCAAATGGGCGCTGGAACTCACAGGTCAGTGGATCGGTCAGCTACCACCACCAAATGGGCGCTGGAACTCACAGGTCAGTGGATCGGTCAGCTACCACCACTAAATGGGCGCTGGAACTCACATGTCAGTGGATCGGTCAGCTACTACCACCAAATGGGCACTGGAACCCACAGGAAAATCATAGAACTCTCATACCTGTGTGTGTTCTACAAGTGCTGTGTATTTTGGTCTTTGCAGAAGTAGCCTGCCTAAGATTTTGCTGTCGAAGTCATCGCTTCAGTGAGGCATCAAAAGTGACCTTTGGGAACGAAATAGTTAGCATCACGCAGTATTTCTAGGCTTTTTCCTCTTCTTCTTCGCTTCCACCTTGTACTTTATCGAAGTGTCGAAGAAAGCTGTAATATTCGTTGATGAGCCCTGTCAAGAGCACTATTAAAACTGATGTTCATTTCTGTAATGCCATTCCTTCTTATCTTCCGAGGTCTTCCACTCTCTCTATACCCGTTGTAACGTTTTAGTGTTGCTCGCTGTGGCAGATAGTACCGGGACATACATGTTAGGTGTCCAAACCACTTCATTTGTTGTTCTTTGGTGACGGGTAAGACTGACTTTATTCTTAGCATTCGTCTGATTTCGTGATTTTATATTCTGCCTTTCCTTGAAACTGCTGCAGCTCTTCTAAGGCATTTCATCTATGTTGTCACAATTTTACGTTTATTGGAGGATGTAAGTGTCCACATTTGGCATTGATAGGTATTTCTGGGCACAAAATGTTAAAAGTTAGCTCGCTTGCTTTCATCTCGCTTTAAGAAAACGTGAAAGGGGCGCGGATTAATGTTCTATGTGGTTAACACTCCCTTGCCGGTGACTCCTGACTTGTGACAAGGGCAAGAATGCGCTGATTGGTTTTACGTTGACAGTTTGGAAATTACTTAATGAATCACGGATCTTGTTATTTGTGTCAGTGTTTTGTGTGTGTGTGCGCGTGTGCGTGCTCTGGAGCGTGTATATTAGTCTCTCTCTCCCCCCTCTCGTTTTCGTCATCTTCTACCATAACCCCCGCCCCTGTTTCTCCTATTTTCTGTCTCTTTCCCTATCTGACATTTTCTACTCCTTCCTCTCTCTCTCTCTCTCTCTCTCTCTCTCTCTCTCTCTCTCTCTCTCTCTCTCTCTCTCTCTCTCTCTCTCTCTCTCTTCTTTCTTCTTCTTCTTCTTCTTCTTCTTCTTCTTCTTCTTCTTCTTCTTCTTCTTTTCGTCGTCTTCTTCTTCTTCTTTTTCTTCTTCTTTTTCTTCTTTTTCTTCTTCTTCTTTTTCAGCGTTCACCAGATGTAAACACAGGCGATGATGGTTGTTTTTCCACTTCCAGCCTTTGCTTTTGTTCCAGAACTTGAGTTTTGTGTGCACATCCGTTTAATGGATCTTTTTTGTGTGTGTGTGTGCAAACTGCTGGTTCCTGGTCAGTGCATTCTGACTTCAAATGAAACATCCTTAATTAGTAACTTTTTTAACTTGTTTTTTAGGGCGCATCTTATCTGTCCCGTTTAGCTAAGGATAAGGATGGCGTGCCATTTATAGTTTTCTTTATTTTTATTTTATTATTTCTACTATTTCTTTCCTTCTTCTTCTTCTTCTTCTTCTTCTTCTTCTTCTTCTTCTTCTTCTTCTTCTTCTTCTTCTTCTTCTTCTTCTTCATAAAACAAAATGAGAATGTAGGCACGCTGTTTGGTTGTTGACAGCTAGGCAGCGATGTCTGCACCTTTTGGCACAGCACATCTTTTTTTTAGCAACATCCAGTAGCTCTACTCACAGCCCTCCTCCCTCCCTCTAAATGGGACCCTGGAACCCTCACAATGACTTCTTTCTTAATGCCAATACAATAACTACATGTTCATTGAAGAAAGTGAATGTGTACACACACAAACAGCAAGTCCATTAAGGCAAGCCACCGAAATACCGCCTGTCCCTGGCACCGGCCAAAAATAACTTCACATAGGAAGGAAGTCGTCACACTCTAATTGGCACACTTGGTATGAGTTCGTTCAACCGTTGGTGACCCACGAGCGAGTCAGTAGTTTGGTTATCTGGTGTCTGAGTCACATTTACCACTTATCCGAGCTTTGTTCGTCTGCGTTCAGTCCTGCGTCAGCTGAATTCTTTACAGGAAGCGGCTTGATCAGGTAGTTTTGTGTGATTACTGTTTTGGATATTTGCATAATGTTACGAACTGCTTTGTTTATTTACTGTTTATCTATACTGAATTTCTGCGTAGTGTTTTATGAAACTGATTGTGTGTCTACTTTTTATGTACTTTTTTCTGTATATAATTTGTGAACTCTCTCCTAATGTATGTACTTAGTTTCTATGTATCATTTTATTGACTGTTTATTATCTACTAATTTCTTTACTTAGTTTCTATGTATCATTTTATTGTCTGTTTATGTATCTCCTAATTTATGTACTTATTTTCTATGTATCATTTTATTGACTGTTTATTAGCTACTAATTTCTTTACTTAGTTTCTATGTATATTTTTATTGTCTGTTTATGTATCTCCTAATTTATGTACTTATTTTCTATGTATCATTTTATTGACTGTTTATTAGCTACTAATTTCTGTACGCGGTTTATGTGCATAGTTTTATGAACTGTTCATGTATCTACTATTTACTGTTCTTGGGTTCTGTATATCTTCTTCTTCTTCTTTTCGTTCGGTTTCCTATGCTCAGATCAAACTATCAGGTGGGTTGCCTCTATGAACTCGCATGTCAGCTGCAGGTCCTTTTTGGTTTCCCATAGCTTACTTTGCACACGTTGCTCTTGAGGCCAGGTGTCTTTTCGAAGTTGTTTGTAGAGTGGGCCGTTCTGCAGAATGTGCTCAGGTGTTT